ATATATATACATATATATATATATATATAACTAATATATATATATATATATATATATATAATACATATATATATATATATATATATATATATAATACATATATATAAATACATAAATATATCCAAATTTATGTATTTATACAAATACCCCTGTATATATGCGACAATACTAGAAATATGTATGTAAATATACAATACGTTTTTGTTTCAAATGCAAATCACCTTTAAAATCCTGATCCGACAGACCGAGTGCCCGACAGAGATTTTTTATTGATTTTTTGAAATTTAGATTTTTTTTCGTAATCATAATGCAGCCTTCTAAAATCAAACGGAATCATATTTTTAGTATTAATATGGATATTAAAAGCAGGTGACTTTTGTGATATTTGAATTATCGTATATGTGGACGTGTACAACGACTTTATGTAAGTGTATATGTGACCGTTAGATTCTGGTGTAAAGGCGAGGTGGGCAAGTGAGTGTATGAATATATAGAAGTGACTGTGATCAGGATGTTAAGAAGTAGGCGATGGTTACCTGTTCTGTTCAAACAAAGCATCACGGAAGACTTGCCAGATACAACTCCCAGTGATACGCCATTTCGAAATGGTGACCAAATCCATCAAATGGAACGCATCTGTACGCACGTGTCTCCAAACACGGACGAATTCAGGCTTGCTAGGTTGTTCCACCAGGTGTGGAAACAGTTGTTCAAATGTTTCATAAGTTCCTCGTCCAGGGATATGACCATCACCAGCATTCTGCTCGTCATCGTCTTCTACGTCACTATTATCTGAATCGCTGTCTGCGTCGCGTCCACTGAGTGTATTGCCATCAATTCCAATCAAGTCTAGAAATAATGCGGAACTACGGGTCAATATTAGACCATTCTTTTAAATAAAAAAAGTTAATGAATTGCAAGACGACACGAAAATGGAAAACACATCAACTTGAATGGCCTTATACCATTATTTACTCATACACTGGCGAGCTTCGCCCTCCTAAAGGCCCCTCCTTTTCCTCCCTTTCCCCTTCGAAATTCATCAAAAGTCGCTTAGGCACTCATGACTCAGCGTCTTAGGCTCTCAGCAATCTCTATTGATGAGTCATGCATACCACAAGAAAAAAAATCGAGCAGGTAATTTGAAATTGAGTCATCATTTTGCAACATCGTTATCGCTGGCAACAGCACAACGGCTTGCACGTATAAAAGTGCAGCGTGCTTGCTTGCGGTTGCTATCATAGCAGTTTTTTCTACAAACCTGCATCTTTTTTACTGTTCAACCAACGATGTCATACTACTCTTCTGAAACGCCACCTTCAGCTAGTTTTACGGGGTATCCACCCGCACCTGCAAGTCCGAATACCACTAATAACTTCGGGGCGCATGCTGCTGGCCCCAGCAATGCGTCGGCGACGTTTAACTATCCTCCACCTGGTACAAATATATCACCACACCAAATCCAGAGTAGTTCATATACGTCTTTGAGCCCAAATCAATACACCCCCACGTCATATTCGCACATGCAACCATCACAGGCCCATGCACAGCAATACGGACATAGCTCGCTAGCCCTGCCGGGCATGTATAGCGCACCGAATATACACTATCAAGCACCACCACCACAAGTCACACAAGCTCAACAACCACCACAGCAGCAGTCTTTTTTCCATGCCCAGCAACCGTATGCACAGACTAGTACACAGTCCATGCAGCAAGCATACGCACAACCCAATGCACAACCTGTTTATGGACAGATTCACAATGCTAACGCGGACATGGGTAGCTACAAACCAGCACCAATACCGACTACACACTCTGGCCCACCTCCAGCCGGTTACCCGTCTGCATCTATGGCAAATGGTGTGCCGCAACAAAATGTGTCAACGGGTTACAACCCAAGTCAGTCATACTATAATCATGATGAAAGCACATTTGCTCCTGCTACACAAAGCACTGGTGCTGGTGTGGGCGCAGGTGCATACGTACCTACCGGCGGGAGCTATAGCAACGAAAGCTCGTGTAAGAAATGCCACGGTCAGGGGCTGACTGAGAAGCCACACAAGGAGTGTAAGAAGTGTGGTATGTCACATTACGCACACAAAAAACAGCAACAACAGCAACAACAGCAATCGTCGGGCCAAGGCGGCGGTGCAGAGCCGAAGTGCAAAAAGTGCATGGGAATGGGTGCTGGTATGACAAAGGCATGTAAGGAATGTGGCAAGACATATCTGACCGGTGCAGCAGCTATGCTTGGAGGCGGGGCGGGAAATGGGGGCAGTGGTGGAGGGAGTTTATCAGGCCTGGCTAAGCTCGGAGGGTCTGGCGGAGGCGGCTTGTCGTCGTTGTTAGCTTTAGCCAAGAAGTGATCGACTATCAAGCAGTTTTAATTGGCAATACTTGCAGTACATATTGCACTGAGGAAGACCTTGGTTGTTTATTAAGTGATGACTTCAGCCCAACTAATCGCTCTATGCCAAAAACAGTACTGCTTGAGTATTAGGGTACGTCTTTGTGCATTCCAAAGCAATCGATTCTTTAGTATTTTTATTGCTTATTCGTACAATGCCGGCACTAGCAGCAGTGCTAAGTACGCAGTACAAACCTTTTAGAAGATAAACTACAGACTGCTAGATGAGTCATGGAATATACAGAACAGCGAATACAATCGATAGCTCGCATCTGACTGTCGCTTCTAGGAGATGTCATAGACACCATCGTTATATATATATATATATATGTGTGTGTGTGTATGATATGA